CTTGCAATTCCTCCCTTCTGTCCTTCATGTCTCCCTCCTGTCCATTCCTACCTTCCTTTCCTCCGATCCCTTGCTTTTCCCCTCCCATCCTACCCTCTTGCATGACCTGCAMATCTGCGATGCATTTTTGTCTCTAATCGACTGATGAATACAACAACATTTCCACACATTTGTAATTCTTCTATTTTCCTAGGTCGTTAAGTTATGGCGCAATAGGTCATGTGCTTGGCCATGAGCTTACTCATGGATTTGATACAACAGGTAACGACTGGTGACGGGGCCTTAGATGAGAGTTGAGTGTATGGAATAGTAATCGTAGATGTTGTGGTAGTGATATACTTAAACATTACCTTCTGGCTAGGGAGACTCGGCAATAACTCCCCGTATCGCGACATAAATTAAAAAAGATTTTAACGATAGGAAAGAGACCAAGTGATACTTAGACGTTTATATAGTTGGATTACCGGATCTAAYAACGGTGTAATGTCTCGACATAAATGTCATTATGCTGTCGGCATAATGTTCTGCTTCTGTTTACAGGACGCAAGTACGATAAAAATGGCGAGGAAATCGATTTTAGCCATCCTGGTAAAGTGAAAACATGGAGTCCATCTTCCATCAAGATGTTTGAAAAAAGAGCCAARTGTTTGGTGGATCAGTTTTCAAAGTTTGTCGTGCTGCAAAAATTTCACGTAAGTTCATCAATTRTTTTTACTTCGTTTCCTCATGTTTTTCCCCCGCAAGAATATCAATCGTGTACAGTGTAGTGTGATGACGTAGTATTGATTTTAGTGAAATAGAGAAAGCGCAAGGCAATCAAAGGGAAGACTAACATGTAAACATAGAAAGACAAAATGAGTGATTCRATAAATGAATGAATGACTGACTGCAAAAAATAAAATATCTTCCTTGTTTTTATGAGGTTAACACTTCGTTCCCATGRTCGAATTGGACGGACGGACGAATTGGAAATTAGGTTTTGATTTTTGCGCAGGGAGGAAAACTAGAAAGATCACCTACACTAAGACTAAAGATTATGCCTTTTTTCCTGCAGCTCAGTGGATATAAAACTCTTGGGGAGAACATTGCAGATGGTGGTGGAGTAAAACTGGCATATCATGTAAGACATCAACTKCGTCCTTGTTGTTTTCTATGAAATATTAGTATAGGAAATACCACCGCTTGAGAAGAATTAATAAAAAATTAACTTGCATTTGATGAAAGTCGCTTAATAATACCACGAGTGCGTAACACGAGTAGTATTTCGCTGCTTTCATCGAATACAAGTGGAATTTTTCATTAATTCTTCTCGAATTTACAATGGTATTTTCTAATAATAACACATTTACAAAAAACGCGTTGACTATAATGTATAAGTCTGCAAATATAAAAATGTCTATAAATCTAACGTTTCTCTTGTGTTCTTCCAATCCCCGCGTGCTTTGATATAACTGCACAGAGCACGCGCGCGCGTTTTCTTTTTCTTTATTCATGCACGGAACGTGTGAGCATTAAAAACTAACTTTAATATGCAAGCAAGACAACTTTTTCACAAGCAACTAGAAACTAGTTTGTGTAAGATAACACTTGCGCAAGCTGAACTGCTATTGCGCAAAACGAGTAATTCAAAGGAAAGTTTGTTTCCACCCGTGCGCATGCAAGAAAGAGTAGTTTCTTATGACCTTKAATAACTCAGAGTATAGTACTTCCATTAGATGATATTCAATTTTTCCTTKTTATTTATTTCAGGCTTTTAGAGATTTCCTGGAGAAACATGGCGAAGAGGAGATCCTTCCCATCCTTGACATACCGCACGAACAACTATTTTTCTTAGGATATGCGCAGGTAAAGTTTTACATGTGGTAATACGATAAATATCCCCCCCCCCCCCCCCCCCCCCCCCATAATAACTCGTATAATTTATGATAAACAGAAAGAGTGTGTGCGCACCTCGCCGGCAGCTGAGTTCATGGCTGTCATGGACGACGTTCATCCTCCTTCAAAATACAGGTTAGTCATTTAGGGAAACTGGTTTTCTTTCAAGACCTATGCAA